ATCGCGTACAATGTTAATCAACCTGATGTCAATTTTTCATCAAATTGAATTATTTTTTTTTACGCAATGACAATAAACAACGTTTTGATGTCATATTGATATAATTTTGATTAAGCTGTTTTCACTGGGTTATGATATATTACGACATCTCACAATATTCACTTGCCATATTTTAAGATATCCTACTGAGACATCCATAGGAGCATTTTTGTCAATCTGGGACAATTTGGGATATCATCAGGATAATGTGTGCTGTATGGGTAATATCCTAAGGTCGTCTGAAGATATTCTGAGAACATTCGAATGTCCGCAAGAATCTCTGAGATATCTGTTGGAGATCTTTTACTATATATAGGTTAACTTACAAAAAAGTTGGATAACTTTTTTGTCGACAAGTATAATAATGCATAAAGTTTATATTACCTGTACATATTTTGAAACATTTTCTCTGGATATCATATCAAACCCACACAACACATGTTATCCTAAGGACGTCCTACAATAATATCCCAGATAGCGAAACATGCGCAAACAGATTTTACGCAGAGCCTGTTAGCAGTGTCTAGTGACAGAAAGGCAACAGGTTTCATGCAGAATCTGTTTTAACATATTCTGATAACAGACTGGCGGCAAAATGCGCATAAAGTCTCACAGCAGATTCTGACAGCAGATTAGTGGCAAAATATATGCATAGACAGACAGGTGACTGGCGGCAGAATGCATGCAAAGCCTGTCGACATGCTGCAGTAGCAGACTGACAGCAGAATACGCACAGAGCCTGACTTGCTGTGCCAGCAGACTGGCGGCAGAAATGCGGGAGATCCTGTCGCTTTTAAGGTTATGTACCCAGATAGCCAAACCTGCTAAAGTATATTTTGTCGATATTTAGCAGAACTGTCGATATATATCGAAAAATGCACTAGAAATTATCAGCACGATACTTTTCCGCCGAGCGCCGTGCTAGATATAATATATGTTGTTAATGTAAATAACGCAATTGTGGCAATTTTTTTACTTTAATTACATAGAGACAGAACTCGATTAGAATTACGGGACTCTTGTTAAAAGTAGCGGTATTTATTGTTTCTTATAGATTAGAAGAGGATGTGTCATGTTAGATTCGCGAAGTTAGCACAATTTTTCATTTGCTATTTTTTGGTATTAAAAGTATGGAACTCTTTTTATTTTCTATTAGGAACTCTAGAACTATGAAAAGTGTTACTAAAACTATCATTTCAAGATTAAAATTTTTCTTGATTTTTTCTAGATTAAAAAAATGTGCCAACTTCACAGACACGTAGACTTTGTCGTTTCTTATTGTATTAGGAGTATAAATAAGTTTCCGCCGTTTGACAAAAGATGGCCCCACCAGAAGGTTATGTTGAAATTGTCAGATGTAAAACGTAATATCGTAAGTTTGGATATCTGGTAACAACATAACCTTGAAGTATTAGTGACTCCATATCAGCATCACATAATTTTTTTCGTGCGAAAATGTCAAGTTTTGTGCCGAATAAGCGTCATTTGCGGGAACTTTTGATTTACTTCTTTAATTTGAAGAAATCTGCAGCTGAGGCGCATCGATAGAAGCATATGATAAGACTGCCTTAAGTGAGAGAAGTTGTCGTGAGTGGTTTCAAAAGTTTAAAAACGGTGAGTTTGACGTGGAAGACAAAGAACGTAGTGTAAGGCCGAAAGTGTACGAAGACACGGAAATGGAAGCATTATTGGAGGAAGATTCGTGCCAAACGCAAGAAGAATTTGCACTTACATTAGAAGTGACTTAACAAGCAATTTCAAGTCGTTTAAAATCGTTGGGAATGATTCAAAAACAAAGAAATTGAGTTCCATATGAACTGAAGCCAAGAGACGTTGAACGCCGATTTTGCACGTGTGAAATGCTGCTTGCCAGGCATAAAAGAAAAGGTTTTTTGCATCGTATAGTCACTGGTGATGAAAAATGGATCCACTACGATAACCCAAAGAAGAGAAAATCATAGGGATCACCTGGCCATGCTTCAACATCGACAGCCAAACCGAATATTCATGGAAAAAAACTCATGCTGTGTATTTGGTGGGATCAGCTTGGTGTCGTGTATTATGAGTTGCTCAAACCGAGCGAAACCATTACTGGAGCTCTCTACCGAACACAATTAATGAGATTAAGCCGAGCACTCAAGGAAAAACGCGCTCATTACTACTCCAGACACGACAAAATTATTCTCCTATATGACAACGCTCGGCCACATGTTGCGAAACCGGTTAAAACCTATTTGGAAACACTTAATTGGGAAGTCCTACCCCACCCGCCGTATTCACCAGACATTGCCCCTTCCGATTATCACTTATTTCGGTCAATGGCACATGGCCTGTCTAAGCAGCGCTTTACATCATATGAAAATACTAAAAATTGGGTCGATTCGTGGATAGCCTCAAAAGATGAAGAGTTCTTCCAACGTAGTATCCGAACGCTGCCAGAAAGATGGGAAAAAGTACTGGCTAGTGATGGACAATATTTTGAATAAAACGTAATATATCGTTCTTTCACAATAAATTCCTAATTTTTTATAAAAAACGGCGGAAACTTATTTGTACTCTTAATACCATACGTAACTTATTTGAAATACATATCTCAATACAAGATTTGGCACAGTGCGTAAGTTAGTTGACTCATACTTCAAAGCATACTCCCAAAGGTTTCCGGTTCGAATCCCAGCAGTTTAAGTGTGATTTTGAAATATAATAATTACACAGAATCAATTAAGTAGGATTAATTTTAGGCAAAACTGTCATATATTAACATCATAAGAATAACTTCAGTTAAGAAAAATAATAAATTTATAGTCGAAAGTATAAATTAAATGTATTTTTTTTAGTGCAGAAAAATAGATAATTTATTTGATTATATCAGAATTGTTATATTTAATTTATCCAATATTTAACAATACCATATCTGATTTAATTTATCTAATATTTAACAATGTCATATCTGACGAACTGAAAACAGAATACAATATTATTAATTTTAATAAAACATATTAGGTGTACAAATGAATAATCCAAATTATTTTAAGCAGTTATGAAATCAATTTTAAATTGCATACATTTTCCCGCTCTTTCGTGATTATGCAATGTTGACATATAGCTATTAAGAAGAACATATAGTTTGGCGAAAGGCCCAACATAACCTTCAAAAGTATTCAATTCAGTACAGTCGAAAATGCTAACAGATAAGGTGCATATCCGACACTGCATTCTTTACGAATTCCAACAAGGAAAAAATGCTGCAAGAGCGTGCGAATCGATTTGTTCCTTTTTCGGCGAAGGTGTTGTATCGTACGATGTGTGCGCATTTTGGTTTAAGCGGTTTAAAAGCGGTAATTTCAGTCTAATCGACAAACAACGCCCTGAAGGCCCTCCGAAGTGCGATAATGATGATTTGGAACAACTGCTCGCTGAGAATTTGGCACAAAAACACAAAAAGAGCTTGCAGAACAGTTGGAAGTAACGCAGCAAACGATTTCCAAACGCCTACATGAGGTGGGAAAGATCCAGAAAGAAGGAAAATGGGTTCCGCATGAACTTACTGAAACCAACAAAAATCAACGAGTGGCAGCGTGTCTTTCTCTTCTCAATAAGCAGCATCAAAAGTCTTTCTTGTGGAAAATCGTTACAGGCGATGAGAAATGGATACTCTATGACAATCCGAAACGCAGAAAGTCATGGGTAAATCCCGGCGAATCATCAAAATCGGTCGCAAAACCCAATCGCTTCGGAAAGAAGATTCTTCTCTGCATTTGGTGGGATATCAAGGGCGTGCTTTATTATGAGTTGTTGGAACCCGGTGAAACAGTTACTGCGGACTGCTACTAACGTCAATTAATCTGCTTGAGTCAAGAATTGGAACGAAAACGCCCATATACTGGCAAAGGAGTCCAGTGAAATTGTTGCATGACAACGCCAGGCCAATGTGTGGCCAGGCCACACATTGCTTTCAATACAAAAGACACCATAATGAGTCTTGGCTGGGACGTCTTGTAGCACCCGGCGTATTCACCAGATATTGCTCCATCCGATTATCACTTGTTCCGGTCGATGCAACACGCCTTGTCCGATATGCACTTCCAATCAGTGAATGAGATCCAAAAATGGCTTGACGACTTTATCGTGTCCAAAGACGTGACATTTTTCCGAGATGGAATTTATCAGCTGCCTAGAAGATGGCTTAAAGTTATAGAAAGCAACGGCGAATACTTTGATTGAACAATTTAATTTAATTTCTTTTAAAATAAACATTGAATGTAGCTGAAAAAATTGGATTATTCATTTGTACACCTAATAATAGATTTTAAGCAGAATAACTTACGGAACGACAGAATCTGCGCGCAATCTGCCGCCGATCTGCTGGCAGTATCTATCGACAGGTTCTGCGCGCAATCTGCCGACAATTTGCTGTCAGAGCTTATCGGCAGGTTCTGACAACAGCTAGCAGCACACTGGCTCGACAGATGGATATAGATCTGCCGACAGGGTCTGCCGACAGGGTCTCGAATCTGACATCAATCTGACGTCAGTCTGCGCACAATTTGCTTACTGAGATCCTGAGGATATACAAAAGTCCCCCAGATAGCCAAACCTGCGCAAACAGATTTTGCGCAGAGCCTGTTAGCAGTGTCTAGTGACAGAAAGGCAACAGGTTGCATGCAGAATCTGTTTTAACATATTCTGACAACAGACTGGCGGCAAAGTGCGCGTAGAGTCTCACAGCAGATTCTGACAGCAGATTAGCGGCAGAATGTATGCATAGACCGACAGGAGACTGGCGGCAGAATGCACGCAGAGCCTGTCGACATGCTGTGCCAGCAGACTGGCGGCAGAATACGCACAGAGCCTGTCGACATGCTGTGCCAGCAGATTGGCGGCATAAATGTAGAAGATTCTGTCGCTTTTAAAGTTATATAATTAGAGGGCCAATAAAATGGAAATTAAATTTTAAATAATTGTGATAAAAATCTTTATTGTTATACACATTAAATGATATACAAAATAAAAGAAGCTACTTTCCAATGTGAATATGTCAAATCCAACGGCCGATTCTTCAGAAGGATAAGTACATCTGCCGTGTGTATTTTACTCCTCTGGTAGAGAAGAACTTAATTCCCTATTAATATAGATAAGACGGCACTCCGACTATTGGCTTACAATCCGTCAATGCCCCAGCTATCTGTAAAAAAACAGAATACATATTTTGAAGAACCGTTTACAACATAATAACAAGAGGGAATATCAGATTTCTTTTTATTTGTTCAATAGAAAAATTAGTAGCTACCTTTTTAAAATAATATTGTCTTCTGTTGTACCAGGTCCGAAAAATCCGCCCTCCTTTCATCCGGCAAAGTAGGCACTTCGGCGTCTTTAGGCTTCATTTTCAAATGCTTCTTTCTCATAGGTAACAAATTATCATCTATCTCGTTTCCTCGATGCAAGTCGATGCATAATTATAAGGCAGCTATACGTCTAGCCATTGCTTTGTTTGGCATTAGGTATAACTAAAATGCGATAGAAAAAATATTTAATATTGCAAGATGCAAATGTTTCAATAAAAGAAAAATATATATATATTTACTTACAAGAAAAAATTTTTTTTTCAAACTTTAAAGAAACCTTGTACTTATATTATAGTCACTTACCGTAACTACATATTTCACTGGTGAGTTTATGGGAAGTCGCACAGAATAGGTCTACGTCGTTAATATTTAAAAAAATTACCTCCAAGTTGTACAGATGCGATATTATAAAGATTACGTTATCCAATTCTTTATACTCAACATTATGAGATTCGTTCAACATTTGGTGAAGTTTTTTTGCAAAGACTATGGTTTCCTCACCACCTTGCGGTACATAGTTTGGCGCGTTTTTTTTTGTGGTTTCCCCTATAGGCCTAATCCACATTCATTTTTTAAGACTGGTCGGAAAGTATCGCCATCGATGTATTCTAAAATATTTTTTTCACGTGCATTGAAAAGAAAATTATTAACAGAAACACTGTAAACAGTTCACTCTGCGTAAATATTAAACTCCTGATAACTAATAGGAAAAACACTAAATCACTTCACTATGTATGATTGTTGCAACAATATATGTGCCTGTTTCTCTGTGGATTTCCTCATAATCGTCACTTTCAGTGTCATCCGTTAAAGAGCAGTGCCAAAAAGGCATTCTGAAACATTTAACTTTTACTTCGTTAACATTCACTAAAAGAAAATCACTGCATAAATTGCTACATTTGAACACTTGAATAGATGAAGATGGTATACCAATATCGTAAAAGTCGTCTATTTTTAAAAATTTCTTTACTTCCAAGTAATAGGAAGAATCATGTACGAATATGCTGAAGACAATGCATATAGAACCATCATGCAACATGCAGCAACTATCACGTACATCTGTACTTAAAAGTATCTGATTAAATTGTATCTTACGATACTGTGAAAAAGTAGCACCATTATTCAGTGGCATAAATACACGAATTGACGAATCTATTTCCTGATTGCACTTTGTGCCATGCATTTCTATTTCCTTCATCCTATTAAAGAACTGTTGAAGTGGCTAACCCGGTTTTCTACAGTATTTCCTAAAAATGGACATGTTGCTTTCATATGGGAAAGCAGAAAAAGAATCTAAACTTCCTAACTGCCGGACATCGTTAGTCATATGAAGAAGACTGTGCACATTATAAGAAAGAAAATTATCACCATAGAGATCACTTGAACGAAGAACAAATTTTTGCAGTGCAAGTTCTGCAAAATTGAGAAGTTGTTTAGATGGTGAATTTGAAACGAGAACCCTTATAGCACCTTGTAGTAACAAAAAATGCTTATAAAACTGGGTACCTAACACACCATACATAATAACTGGACCTGTATAAAGCACAATCTGCCTGAACTCTGTCGCTTTATATTTCAAATATATTTGGAGAGATCTGGGACGTCTTGCAAAGTCAGAGGGAATATATTGTTGGAGATTATCTAATCTTTCATATATGACACTAATGGCATTTGCAGAAAGTTTTGATGCACGTGAATATCGTCCGGAAACCCATGCAGATAATAGTTTTTTCATGATGCCCAAGCACACTAAATGCATATACTCGAAAGGAACTTGTGAAACCATTCCTATAGGAATTAATGATAATGGACTTGTACCTTCTTTATGATGATCTTCGTCCACAACTGCAACATATTCTTCATCTCTTCTTACAGAATGATTTATTCCTTTAAAAACATTGCGACCTTCACTTATTGTTCCACTAACTTTGCATTTTGAGCATGGTTTATTAGACAGATGACCACGATGATTTAGAATAAAAGCTCGAGCTGGTGCATCTGCTATAAAACATCTAAGTCGTATTGGAATATTACTGCCATTGAACTGTATGCCTCCATTGTTCACAACTGTTAGAATATCTGTAATAAATGCTTCGAAGAAACTATTCGGATTATGGGGCTTTTGTGAACCTTTGTATATACCAACAATTATTGGTTTGGCGTGTTGTACATTCGCTATTCTACATTGAATAGGCCATAGATGAACACTACCCGCTCTATCTAATGTACACCCATCTGTGTGAATATCTAATTCAATATGTGAAGGAATTGCTGCCATGGACATATATGAAAGATATTCAATTAAAGCTATTTGGAAATCAAAGTGAATGTATTCTCCTGGCTCAACGTTTAACACAACAATATTATTGCATGGTGTATTAAGAAGTGTTCTAGTGTCTTTGGGCAAATTAGAGAAGCATGAATGTGTTCTAAGAAGAGATAATACACTATTACCTTAAACATGAGTAAAATTGTTGTCAACAAAACAGGAAGCTAGCTGTTCACGAAAGGATGATTGGCCAAAATTGTCATGAAACAATGTTCCACATTCAGATGTATTTGAAGACGATGAAGAAGAATCATCATTAATAATGTTTCTGTTATGTACTATATGAGAATTATCATTTGACATGGAATCATTGCAAAAAGTATACTCTACATCAGCAAAGTGCGGAACACTGTTAACAAAACGAAATTCAGAGGTACTACATTCTGGAGTTAATGAATTATGGGAATCACAGCTTTGCAAATTGGCACTATTCTTTGATTTTCCATCTACACTTTTATATGTTGCAATATGTGCCAACTTTAAACGCTCCCTTATTTTACACAGAACTATAGATCGGTATCGTGGGGATAACTTATGTGCCGGTTTCCGCGACACAAATGATTTATTCATGTAATTATTCATAAGTGCGTGTTTATCGTGCGAGTCTTACGTATAACTGTAATAAACTGTAATAAAATCTGTAATATCGCTAATCGTCGCAAATGCAAAAGTTGCTATTCGTGCTCACTAAAGAGAGAAATTATTCACGTTCTGATCCTACTCGAAGATCGTATGAACGCAGTGTAGGTATACCTGTTATGGATACAATGGGTGCATTCAGTACTACGGCTGCGTTCTGATATTCACTGGCAGCACTGAAAATCTATAATATACGTGACACAAATTACGTATTTTCAATACTGACAGTAAATTTCGGAATGCACCCTACAACCGCTCACTGAGTGCTCAATGAGCTTTTACATTTGATTGGCTGCATTCAGCAGACTCAACAGTTGGACAACATTACTAGATTTTCCACTGAATCTCGCTTCTGATTGGTAAATACTTCTGGGTCTATGAAGAATCTAAAAAAATGCTCCAATCACAGACAATAATCAGTAAGCGCTCTCTGATCACTTTGTTCTACTGAACGCGGCCATTGCTTGCTAGATAAAAATATTGCTTTCTGATTGGTGCATTTCCGGAGATGGATGGAAATGTACCAATCAGAACGCAGTGTTTTCATCCAGCAAACAATCCAACACGAAAACAAGCACCGTGTGCCGCTGGCATTACAATAGAATTTCAGTGTTGGCAGTAAATATCGGAACGCAGCATTGGTAACCATGTGAAGGAAATGTAAACAATTGAATCGTGCTAACATTTTTCGAAGCCGATTTTCAGCCGGCAGTTACCTGGTCGTGGTGAGCCTCGCTGAATTGCTTCCAAGATAGCTGTGCACGCTGTTGTTGTTCCAAAAAGCTGCTTTCATTTTTCGTTCTCGCCTTTTCTCTTTCCTATTATTTTGCGTCCTTCATCCATTTTTATTTTACAAAGTGACCGCACTTTCACTCAACGTGAAGAGTTGAATCCCGTGGATATATATTGGGTGAGTGCAAAATTTCGTGCGGAGTTTGTGAGTAAAAGTCACACAGTGATTATGCAAACAAAAATCTTTATTCAATCAATGATATATTCTCCATCGTTTTCTATAATCTTTTCCCAACGTTCTGGCAGCATACGGATGCCTCATAAAAACGGACCATAAAAACTGCGCGGTTTAGATTCGAAGAACGAAGAGACGCCGTTTTTTAAGATCTCCAAAGAGTCAAAGTTTTTTCCATTTAAATAATTTTGCAATGACCGGAACAAGTGATAGTCAGATGGTGCGATATCAGGAGAATACGGTGGATGCGTTAAGACATCCCATTTCAGGCTCTTCAGTTTGCGCAGCGTCTTTTTCGAAACGTGTGGTCTGGCGTTGTCGTGATGAAAGACGACTCCCTTGCGATTTGACAAAATCGGACGTTTCTCTTTTATTTCTCGATTCAGATTAGTTAGTTGGCGACAGTACTTGTCCGAATCAATCGTTTCGCCAGCGGGGAGAAGCTCGAAATAGATTATGCCCTTGCAATCCCACCAAACAGAGAGCATCACCTTCATCGGGTGCAAACTGGCCTTTGGTATTGCGTCACCATGCTCACCTGATTGTTTCCATGTCCGTTTGCGCTGAACATTGTTGTAGAGGACCCATTTCTCATCGCCCGTCACTAGTCGATCCAAAAACGACTCGTTATTGAGCCGCCCGAGTAAAGAAACGGCTACAGAAATTCGCTTGATTTTGTTCTTCTCGGTCAGCAAATGGGGCACCCATATATCGAGCTTCAAATCGAATCCCATCTTTTTTAAACGCCGAAAAGCGGTTGATCGGTCAACGTTTAGTGCTGTAGCAACTTCTTCTGTTGAAATTCGCGGATTATTGAGCACTAAAGTACGCAAAACATCGTCATCAATGTCAGAAGGTCGACCAGAGCGTGGCTCGTCTTCAAGGTTAAATTCTCCGCGCCGAAATTTAGCAAACCATTTTTCCACAGTTCGTTTAGCTGGTGCTTCATCCTGATAAACATCCTGAATGTTTTTTACGGCTGCGGCAACGTTTATTCCCTTCCGAAACTCGTAAAACATAATATGCCGTAAATGCACCTTATCGATACTCATTTTTAAAGTGATATTTCTCGAAGCAGTTTGTATGAAAACAAATGATTTTTTTTTTAATAACAGCTGAAGACGTCACCTTTCCAACGTTATATAATATGTAGATGGAAGTATTAATGACAACACTTTACGACGCTTATAACTCCATCTATTGAAACTCCGCACGAACTTTTGCACTCACCCAATATATATCCACGTCGTATATAATTTCTTACAATGATAGATTCGCAAAAGACGTAAGTACTAGCGTATATTGTATTGAATTACGTATGTGTATCGCAGAGATCACGTTGAATGAAAAACAATCTATAACACAATATTTAAATATATTAAATATGAATTTTGTTTATTTACAGAAGTTTCCGAACAAAACATATTGTAAGCAAACCTTTGCGATATATGACAACCTCGTCATCTGATGAAGCCCCTAAGCGACAGAGAATGGCAAAGGCAGTAGATATTGATGATGATATCAATGATCTTCGAAGAATGATGAAACAAGATGCTGAACGATGCAACGATGTCTCATTGCATAGTTTTATGCAACCAAATTGTAATGCGCAACAACAATCTGACCTGTGCACTGAGTTAAAAATAATGGAGCCACAACCACACTCATACTCGCAGCCACAAATACGATCAGAGTTGTATACATATTCGGTGCCACAAACACACTCCGATCTACACACTCACTCGCATCCACAAACAGTAGCAGAACTAAACACACAGTTGCAGCCACAAACAGTAGCAGAGTTACACACACACTCGCAGCCACAAATAGTAGCAAAGCTACACACACACTCACAGCCAATAACAGTAGCAGAGCTACATACACACTCGCAGCCAGAAACACAGCTAGATACACACTCACAGCATGAAAATGACTCCAATACATACACACATTTACAACAGCGAAGGGGCCCATATGGCCAAGCAACAAATATAGTCCCAACTAACGTACAGAGGAAGGGAGACAGCAGCATGTATGGACATACTTATCACAACTTTGCGCAGGCTGGAGACAGGACAAATAATAAGTAAATTTATATGCATTTATATATATATATATATATATACCCTTTGTTCGCACAGGTGCAAATTCGCGTTAGAACGTTTGTTTAAAGTCAATACAATTATATTTAAGCATGTGGTGTTCATTAATCATTCCAAGAGAGATGATGAAAAAGAGCAGTTAAATCGAATTGAGGCAAAAGTCAAGTTTGTATAACGTAGAATGGATTAAATAAAAGTTTAGTATAACACATTTCTTGTCAATATCAATGTTTCAACACACGTTTTCTTTTTCAGTGAAATATATGCTATTCTTCGGGATACACAGAAACAGAATAACAGGTCAAAAATAATAAAACCAAGCATCATACCGATAAAATCTGTCGAGGACGTTGAGGCATTTGAAAAAAGTAATGATGATGAATATAATAACGTTGTAAGTAAAAAATAAAACTTTAGACTTATGACATGTGTAATACTTATTAAACGTAATAATAGAAATTTATGTTTGGCAGGTGCAATATCTTAGAAACATTGGAGGCTTCAATGCCAAAAAAGCGATAACTCTATGTCTAAAGGAAAGCATCGCAGATTCAGCTTCCGTTCTCTTTTCATGGCGAGGTCGAAAAGGGCTGAAGGCATTATACAATGTAAGACTTGTACTTGCAATTTTCGGTAAGATTTTTTAACATTTCTATTTATACACACATCACACACACACACACATGCGCGCGCGCACATACACACACACACACACACACATATATATATATGCAAATATATATGTAGTAATTTATAATAGTTAGATTTCGAAATTTACTGCCAGTACAGATATTTTATAACATCCGTAACGTGAACAGTGAATAGGTGAATAACGTGAATAGGTTTTCAGGACTGGCAGTGAATTTCAAAACGCAGCCAATAAGTAATATCTTACATTTTATTTCAGATGCTGTATGTCGAAATCCCTATTTTCATAGGCCGACTCAACAAGACTTTCAACAATTTATAAGAGAAGCTCTCCGAGCTGCAAAGGAGAGAGTCCGGAGTAAAAGTCGTCGCCCACATCAGTCAGCAGGACAAGAAAATGATCGGGACCTGTGGAACAATGACTGGCCAGAAGAAGAGGAGGAAGAAGTTACAGATTAAATTAACAAGATGTATATATGTAAATATTTAGATGGACAAATGTTGGATTTTTAATTGACCGGCCGAAAGTAGCTTTTTTTGTTTTATATATCATTTAATATATATAACAATAAAGATTTTTATCAGAACAATTTAAAATTTAATTTCCATTTTATTGGCCCTCTCATTACCTTCCCTTTCCCTTGGCCCTCATAACCTTAAAAGCGACAGAATCTCCTGTATTTCTGCCGCCAATCTGCTGGCATAGCATGTCGACAGGCTCTGTGCGTATATTGTCGTCAGTCTGCTATCGCAGTATGTCTACAGGTACTATGTATATTCTACCGTTAGTCTGCTATCGCAGCATGTCGACAGGCTCTGCGCGCATACTGCCGACAATCTGTTGTCAGAGCCTATCGGCAGGTTCTGACACAGTCTAACAGCATACTGGCTCGACAGATGGATATAGATCTGCCGACAGGGTCTGCTCGAATCTGATGTCAGTCTGACGTCAGTCTGCGCACAGATTGCTTACTGGGCCGTTGTTTTAGATTGTTCGCCTTTTGGACGAAGTCAAAAAGAAACCGGGACCGCTCAGCAATGAGCTCGGGGTTCGACAGAAAGGAAGACACAACCCGTTTGAGTTTCGCGGGATCGTTCCCTTTTATTTCCTCCTCTTGGGCGATGTTCGCCGAGCTTCTGGAAGGATGATACTCGCTGGTCGGAGAGCGAGCATCTCCCGATCCCGCGATCCCAATTTTGTTAACACAAAATACACGTTGAAACCGTTGACAATTTGGACGAAAATTAAGGTTGTACGTGACACGTCCAGTCGAAGTATCAGCCAGTTGAGGCCACAACCGAGTCTCCGTACGCAAAGGTTCGACCAGGTTAGGTTGAGCAGCTGATTAGAGAAAAACGGTGCGGAACGAAGCGAAATTGACACTTGCAGTCGGTCTCGTGCGAATTTGAGATCTGATCGGAGTGAGGAACAAAGAGCGGTTCCTAACTTCGTTCTTACATTTAATTTTTGTTTTTATTTGCTCGGAGATGGGACGTTACCCGTTGTCGATTTAAAACTTTGCCAGGTTATTGGCGTTCATATGCTGACAAACAGAGACAATAACAACGGTGAGTCCCGTCACCAAACAAGCACGGCGTGATCACGCGCTAGTCACGCAAAATATCTCGTGTTGGCGAGAATCCTCGATTTCGTCGAAACAAAGCGCGACGATGAGACGACGGATTGCAAACATAGATCCTACAGATATCCTACGGATATTTCTTTTAATGATAATTTTTGGAAACTAAAAGTTTCTGAAAAGGAACTAAAGTTACTAAAAAGGATATCCGTAGGATATCTGTGGCATCTGAAACAGCGAACATTTGTATATCCCCAATATATTGCAGTATCCTAGAATGATGTCTATCGGATGTCCCTGAGATAAAGTGTGCTGTGTGGGAACGGATTTTGTGTGTCGCGTAATATCCTTCGCACTATACGGACATTATTATTTTGATCATTTTGTTTTCTTTGATGTTCATTAAGAATTATCCAACGAGAATTAACGCAACTGCCATGTTGAATGACTCAATTGTCGTGTGAAATGTTTCGATTTTCACAAATTCATATAAAATTTTTCATTTTTCACTAATTCACAGAAGTCTTTAGGTTTGTTCGCGTCGCACACTCCAACATGCTCCTATTTGCCCCAATGTGTTCCAATCCGTTTGCATCACCGGAAACTATATGGCGACCAAGCGTTCGCGTCGCATTGGAGCATTCCTCAAGGAGCAAGTAGGAGTGTGATCTATTTACCCCAGCTTCGGAGGTGGTGCAGTTTGGGCAGAAACAGTTTTGTCATGAGCGCATGCGCAATCATTAGTTTACTTTTGCGAAGAAGAATGCAAAAAAGTACGACTAAATTAAGAAAACGTGTGTTAAATATTCAGGTATTTAAAATATCTTGCATAAGATTTTAGTTGACTGCTGAAATATGCATTTTTATAATTAATTAACTAATAGTAAATTCAAAATAGGTTAAGTGATTTTATTTTAGGACAATTTGTGTGACTTATGTTTATATTTTATTTGAATTAATACGTGAGCAAAAATGTAATATTTTACATATGACATATTATTCAGTAATTTGTGATTAATATATTCCAACATTATTTGTTTTAAAGTTATTTTAACCAGTTAAGAAGTGTTCACTTACACAACTATTGTATTTAATATTAATGATTTTTTTGTTATAGTCTTCAGCAAGACAAACAATCCATAATGGCTGAATCTAATCAGAAAATTATGATAGCACACCCGAATGCTAATTCTTTAATAACAGGATCTATGATTCCAAAGAACTCAGCTATAAAAGTCATGCCAAAAATATTGTCATTTAAATTAGTTAAGCCTCAAACACCAAATACTTCTGCCGTAACTCACACAACGGACTTAACACAATACTTAACCACAGTGCCTTTGATGAATAAGATGAGTCCTTCCAGTATTCAGTTGCATGAAAGTCCTTCCATTACAGCAACAAGCTCTACGCAGCATACAGATACAATTATGAGTTCATTGGATTTTTCGATTATAAACTCAGATTCTTCCACAGTTATGGAAAAGGAACTTATGACAGATAATGAAAAAGAGAATGATTCTGTTTTCAACAGTGTTTTCAACAGTGATAGCCATTTTATTTGGAGTCAAAAGTATAATGTTATTTTTCTCAGAATATGAAGAACATGAGAAAAACGGAAATATCAAAGTAAGGAGGCTATGTTTCAAGCGTTAGCAGAGTCGTTCCAAAAGAAAGGTTATATAAATGCTACCAAAAATCATATGAAAAATAAATTTAAATTATTGAAGAAGAAATGGGATATACATATTAAACGGACCACTGGAAAAAATAGCTCTAGAAAAGGCACAAAACCTCTTCCATATGAAGAGTAAGTTTTATGTTCATTCTGTTTCTTGTATGTGTCATAATTTTAAATGGAATACTTTCAATTGATACTCAGAAAACATGAAAGTTTTGAAGATATCTAAAAGATATGTTTTAAATATTTTCTAAGAAAAGATATTTTTAAAAAATATCTAAAAGATATCTTTTAGAAATATCTTGAAGATATCTATAATGAGATATCTTTTACATATCTTTAAGATCTCGATGTTTTCTAGATCTTAATATGTCCTTAAATATCTTTCAAATAACTTAAATATATTTTTTGATATCTAAAATAAAATTTGTAAACGTTTTAAAATATCACGTCTTAAAGTGTTTTTTTACATTTCATCGAAATATGTAAAAGATATCTTAACTTGTTGCATAAGGTATCTTTTAAATCTCTAAAAAATATCTTTTTCAGAAATACAAGACATCTGAAGACATAGCAAAATATCTTTTAGAAGTCTAAAAGATATCTTTATGTCTATTTGGGCAGTTTAATCAGCTTTCTTTTTTGATATTTTTGCTTTCTTTTTGTTATTTTCGAAATATTTAAAGTATATATATTTAATCACTAATGGATTGTATACTTTTCCTTATAGAGAAATGATAAAAATATTTGGAAAAAGTCATAGTGGAGTGCCACTTATTGTAGCTAGCCGTAATGGAATTATTTCTCAAAAAGAAATTTTGCAAAACGTCTGTCAAAATTTGTCTGAGTGAGTAATGATCTCTCTAAAATACATTTTTAAATTCTTGTCTTCATTTAGATAAGTAATTAAAAGTGTTTTCTATTATAGAAATGAGAATGAAGAGCAACAAGAGCAGATTTCTTCTGTACTACATTCACCGAATCCCGTAACTGTAGGTACCAATTTAAATCTCTTGTCATCGAGAAACAATTCGTCACCAACAAGGAGCAATGTTTCAGTTCCGACATTATCGACTAATAGCAGCAGATCATCAATGACGGGTAGCTGCTCCTCTTTAACAAATACAAGAGTAAAAGTACGAGATGGCAAATTGGCGCTTACTTTGCAATCAGTCAAAGAATCCATTTGTGCCGTGTTACAAAACGAAAGTAATGATAAACAAGAAATACGCACAAAATTTCTGACAGAGCTTCAAAAATTTAACGAATTGCAAAAAGAACGAAATATCATTCTGCAAAAACAACTTATGGTACTTGAAAATTTGGCCAAAAAGATAAATCCAACAGAGAAATTATTATTACATGACTGAAAACATTGAAATAATTGTTAGATATAAACATATATTTTATTTGACCATATTTAAAACAATGTTGGTTATGTTTTTAGTTTTTGATTAAATATAAATATTTAATTTCTCAAATTTTTATTTATTCGTTTTCTGTTAATTTTAATGGATAGCACGATAAGACTTCGTATTAAACTTCTCGAGAAGTCAAAGTTAAGTTTACTCGATTGAGTTTTTTTGCATAATAAAGCAGTATTATTTAAAATCAGTTGCTGATAAAGGATAAAAACTATTACAATTTCTTTTAATCATCAGTCATTTTTAGTCAGTTTAGTCAGTTTATTGAAATATTACACACGTGCATTATACATTAATTGTATTTATTTTTTGTGAAAGAATTATTAGAGATATAAAATATATGATATTAAAACAAACTGATGTGTGGATAACTGATATGTATTGTTGAAAAGAATTTTTTTGTTCAAAGACATTCTATAATCACAAATAAAACTTTAATATAATATTTAAGAGATTTTATTATCTTTCTTAACTTCTCCTAATATGAATAATTTAATATAACGATTGTTAAGATAACGATCATTATGTTAAATTGTTTGTGTAAAAAAATTAAATTAAAATACATATATAAACATATAAAATAAATATAAAATATAGATGTGTATTTTAACTTTGCTATATATACATAGAATACTTAAAAAAAGTAGAACTTATTACAAGAAGTAATCATCTTCTCATGGCCACTTTTTAAGGTATATTCAGACAAATATGTATGAGCACATGATATATATAAACATAAAATAAAATAATCAATTGCTTTTTTTTACAATAAGCGCGTATAAAATTCCAAAACGTTAAAAGTGTAATAAAACGCAAAAAAGGCAAAATAATATCTTGCAAAAACAATATAGCGATATTAGAGAAAATGATAAAAAGAATATACCTAAGAAAAAGAATTATCATATGAAGACTGAAAACATAGATATTGATGTAAGATATAAACATATTATTTATTTAACGCTGAACTTTTATATGTTTATATATATATATATATCATATAGTCATTAAAATTTGTCTTAATATATCTCTACTCTACGTTGAATCGTCTTTGGAACAATTGTCGGCATAGTTCATCTCTGAGATCACAACCACGTCGTTCATCAACAAAATTTTCATCCCTATCTTCTGGCAGGACATGGGGTAACAACACCTGTGCATTTACATCAGCATGATTGTCGTCCTCGGGTTCTTCCATGTATTGCATATCATTAAAGTCAGCCATATTATGAAGGACGCAACAAGCGAAAATGAATTTAACGATGAACTGCATGTTCCTCAACTTAAGGAAATATAATTGCCTGAAACGTTGTTTCAATACTCCAAATGTATGTTCTACAGAGATTCTGCACTGACTATATATACGATTAAAGTTTCTTTGGGCCTGTGTAAGATGTCCATTATCCCGATATGGAGTAATTAATTGAGGAAGGCATGGATATGCAGCGTCTCCAAGAATTATGTTTCCGTCTAAAAAAATTACATTTGCTTAAGATAAACATCAAAAGTTAAATAAACATTCACGATAAAGTATATGTATATTAACTAAATTAAACAAGAATAGAGATATTCGACTAAAACAATAATACAATAATTGTTTATGATTATTATGTATTCATACTGTGACAGAGTGCTGGTAAGTCTTCAGCCAGACTAGAATTTGCAAATACTCTTGCATCATGCACTGAGCCAGGATATCCAATTAACACATCTAAGAACTTGTTCTGCTCATTAACTGTTCCCTGCATGTGAATGGAAAAATAATGTTTTCTATTGATATAGGCTACTGGGTCTTCAGAAGGTTTGTCTATACGGATGTGTGAACCATCAATAGAACCTATAACAGGAAAGAAATATTAATTAAGTTATATCATTACCCACACTAAATTACAAAAATGTAAGTTTAAATTAAGTACATCATCAGAAAAAATTACATTATTACCAATTATTCCTGGAAAATTTTTATTTTCTACATAGTATCTCTGCGCTCTCTGCTTTTCTGCCTCAGTGGGTTCATACCGAATAAATTCATTTCTTAAATCATATAAAAACTGTGTGACTCTTTGTAACACTGATTCAAAGGCACTAAGAGACAAATTAAATCTATCAGCAACATCCCTGAAACTTGTACTTTGATGCCCAGCAAACTATAGAAAAGTAAGAATATGTTTTTCAGCCGAAACTACTTCAAATCCTCCATGTCCTATATAAAATATTAATTATACTTTATTTAAAATAAAATGAAAAACTTATCATATTAAATCTTTAATTTAAAAAACAGTACTTACCTCTTAGATTTCTAAAATGTGCCCAATAACTAAATCTGTCCACCATGCTTCTGAAAAGCATTCTTTTTAAACGATAATGCATAATAAATTCTTCATCGGTATACATTGGCACTATTTGTTCAATATAATTAGTTATGCATGTTCTACGTCTTCTTTGAATACCTTCAGCCATTTCAATAACTGCATTAATAGCAATATCTACAAATTACATAAAATCAAATAAAAATGCACTAACTATTTAAGGAAATGACGGTAATTATACAGAATACCCCCTCACCTCCAATTTTGACGAAAAAATATTTAATCGACGCGTTTTTGCAAGAGAAACAACTTTTCTATTTAAAAAAATCGTCGCTCTGTCTTGTGGAGCGAGATATAAATTGTTAAAGTTGATGACAATTTAGATTAGGAAATCTGTCACGGAGGCGACAGATAAGATTCCGACAGAGATTTTTTCAAATAGAAAAGTTGTTTCTCTTGAAAAAATGCGTCGATTAAATATTTTTTCATCAAAATCGGAGGTGAGGGGAATATTCTGTATAATTACCGAAAAGACAAATTAAAACTAATAATGTTCAGAGGTTATAGCAAATAAGGTTAGGATGTCACATCTTCATCAATACTCACTCTCTATTTCATCGTCGTTCCCATTGTCTTTCACAAATAAATCACGGATTACAGCTAAAGGTAAAAGATTTTCATTAATTTCATTCATAATTAATATATTAAAGCCAATGAGAAAATCTTCCAATGGATCCATGCTGCGAGTTTAATTTGCATGTTTGCATGCATCTTAAAAGAGGAGAAACTGCTCCAATCCGTTCGTGTCACTGAGCATTGGTGCACATGAACTCATTTGCTCCAACCACCATCTTATCCGTGATCCAAATGCTCCCTGGTGTACATTGGAGCATGCGACGCGAACAAACTTTTTCATTTTTCATTAGTTCATGCTAGGAAAATGATTCATGATCACTGCCCTGACTATGGCTGAGGCTGTGTTCCAAAATGTAATTCAAGCACTGGCAGCACTGTGAACCCGTTCCAAAATTCATTACAGCACGCTACGACAGTGATGTGGGAGCTTGATGACGTCATTAATTTGTCACTTCCTACTGTGACTGCTGTGGCTAGAGAGGTGAAGTAGCTGCAGTATTAATATGGCAACTACCATGGAAGATATCATTCTATTCGTCGCCGAAAATAATATTGAATATAAACTTATGTTATCAAAAGAAGATGCCGAGAAAGCAAGAAATGATAAGTATATTTATAATGTTTTATAATAGACGCACTTATTTACAAATATATTTGAATACAAAAATTAACTTAATATAATTAATTTATGCTATTATTTTTATTTAATTTGTCATTATTCATAGATCACAAATTCTCATATTCATTATTGCAACATGCAAAAAAAGAGGCAAACGCAAATATGGGCAAGGAAATATCAAATACAGGTTTAAATATTTTTATCCTCTTTGTTAGTGACTTTCCGGTATACACCAACGGTAACATTATCAATGTTATAATTTTCCTCAGAACAAAACAGAGAAAAGAATATAACTATTACATAACATTTGTGTTATATCACATTTATATTATTGTAAGTAGTAAATTATATACACATTAACGTTATGTTACCGATAGATGTTTATTTATTATATCTAGATTATTATATTTTTTCAAAGCATTTTATATTATTTAATATTATAAAATACTTTACAAGAAATGTCTATAAATTTAATATTAAAAAGTTAATATCATATAGCGAATGCAGATAACGTAGCAGTTGCAAGCTGTAGTACTGAAAACGATTCTTTAGAAGTAAAAAGTATGTAGAAATAGATAATGTTCAAGAAAAAGAAAACATATTAATAGATTATTATTCAATTTGTCTGGATCAACACATATGGACGCGTTCAGAAACGATCCTATTAATTAACTTGTATAAAGAATATATTGATAAATTCAACAACCGAAAAGTTTCTCAAAAGCAAATCTGGAATAGTGTCTCCAAAGAATTGGAAAAGCAGGATATGAAATATCCGGTATAAAATGTGCAATAAAATTTCAGTGTTTGGAAAGATCTTACTGATCTGTTGCTGACCATAATAAAAAGTCAGGTAACAATAGGAAGCAATGGGAATATTATGAGGTATGTCACAATAACACTATATTTTAACATTTAATGACTTTAACGATATGCTTATTAATTACTTTAAGAATATATTTTAACGATATACTTTTATACAAAGCATTCCATAATTATTCATTGAATGTTCTAAATCGAAGAGAAATAAATTTCTTATTGTAAGTAATGCACGAAATATTCGGTACAAAACCATGGATAGAACCATTATCAACAGCTGGATCAGATGTCAATATCACAAATAGTGATACAGAAAATGTAGATCCTACAGGTAATAGAATTTATACCACATATTTTATTGTATATAATTATTATTTATTTTGAGTCTCTCTCTCTTTCTCTCTCTCTCTCTCTCTCTCTCCCCCCCTCTCCTTCTCCCTCTCCCTCTCTCTCTCTCTCTCTCTCTACATGTGTGTATTGTGTATTGTCAATTATCTCTAACTATTTATTATTTCTCTTTTCTATTACAGTACCTAAGAGACGAAAAAAGAACCATATAATCGAAGACTATTTGGATCAAAATATAAAACTGAAAGTGGAAAAAGAAAGAAATGCTCAGAAAAGACACGAGGAAAAAATGGCCCGCTCAGATAAAATTGAAGACATATTGTTAGATAAATCAGAAAAATAGTATAGATATCGTTAATATAATATATCGTTGATATTCTATAATTCTATTATATTATAATTTTATTTGATCGTTATAACTTGAATGATATTAGTATTTTGCGTTTTTCTGAGTTTATATAATTTTTGTTTTTGGGTTTATATGTAATGTTTGCTTTCCAATTTTGCAAAATTTTTTGTTTTCTATCTAAAGATATTAGTTGTATGAAATTGTGATTAGTGAACTTTAAGTTTATGATAAATAATAAATACTATTATTGCAAAAAAAGCACAAACATTGTAAAGACTGTTAGAAGTAATAGTAAAAATAGACTAATATTCTTCGTTTTTATATTTTAAGTTGTATATGTACAAGTTGTATATGTACATTTACAACGCACGCGCATATTTATTATTATATCCTATTATTATGTTCTATGAGATATTAAACGCTTTAAATCCATAAAAATAAGGAATATCAAAATTATAATTTTTGTTAATTATTTGATTAAAAATTACAATTTTCATTTTGTAAGTAATACATGATTGCGTTACGTTTTTCAATGCTTTCTTCTCGTAAACCTTGTAAGATTCCCATTTCGACATTTTGTGCACATTCGTTTTGTTCTACAATAACAGGTATATCCATATGATCATTTTGGAGTAAACAAATGTTATGTAGAATACAACAAGCAACGATATATTTAGGGATTAAATCGGTTCTTCTCATGGGTAGTGTATCTAAAAGACTCCGAAACCTTCCTTTTAACAAGCCTATTGCTTTTTCTACCATCATCCTGGCTTGAGACAAGCAAGTATTGTATTTTATTTGCACATCAGTTAAATGTCCATTGTCTTTGAATGGAACCATAACATATTTTTGGATACTACAGGCAGCGTCACCTAATATGTGACTATTTTCAGGAAAATTTTGTGCTGTACATAAATTCTCTAAACTTGATAGTCGAAAAACTCTCATATCATGTACTGACCCTACTTGTCCTGCATAAACATGAGTAAATTTTAAATCATGATTACTGGCCACCTGAAAAGAAGAAAGAATTTAAAAATATAAAATATAAATTTCAAGTAGGAAGAGTAGAAATTATATATATATATCAGACTCTGTTAATGCATTTTTAATTATTTTAATTATTGTATTAAAGAAATCATACAATTGTCAAACATACCTGTAACTGCATGGAATGGTAGCCCTTCCTATTTATATAAGCATCTGAATGTAATTTTGGTGCTGCAATTTTGATATGCGTCCCATCTATTGCTCCTATCTTTTATTTTGGAAATTTGTATCTATTTTTAATACATGTCCAAATTTCTTCAGCTCTTTGTGGTCATGTAATAAATCTGTCAAGATGTGAATACAACGTATTTTGGACTATTGGCATTTTGGAATACAACTTTTTGGACACATCTTCAAGCAGTTCCTTTACCAATACCGAATCGATCAGCAATACATCTACATAGTTAACGAAGCATTAAATATGACACATATATTAACATATTTTTATTATATATAACTTTTATTTACCTATATGAATTAGGAGTTGCCATCATCCATATCGCTACTAATAATGTTTTTTCAGGTGATATTGTACGTCTGCCACATCCCTCTAATTGTTTCGATAATTTTTTGCTTAATAGCTCTAGCAAAAACCTAAATGTTAATCGACTGAGGCTATGCAAAAAATGTAACATATTAATATTAATTTGGGTAATTATCTAGTTTAGGGGCTCCGCCTTAGAATTCGATAAAAATAGACTCAATCAACGCGTTTTTTAATAAGGAGTAACTTTTTCCTCTGCGAAAATGGTAATTATCCAGTTTAGGGGCTCCGCCTTAGAATTCGATAAAAATAGACTCAATCAACGCATTTTTTAATAAGGAGCAACTTTTTCCTCTGCGAAAATTGTCGCTCTCCACTGTGAAACGAAATAAAAATAGTTAAAGTTGACTGGTATAATAGGTTAGGAAACCTGTCATACAGACTAAAGATAGCGACATGAGTACACTCTGTGGTTACGTGCGCATGTAAAAAGTGCGCTAATTTAAAATCAACACTTCTCTCTGTACTTATGTGTCATTTAGAGTTCAACGATAAATTAATATATTTATTAAATCTTCACCTTACTAAATAGATGAGTCTATAATATACTAAAATTAATGAATATAGAAAAGATTATTATTATTATTATTATTATTATTATTATTATTATTATTATTATTATTACTAAATTCCAAAAGATCCAACAAAGATCCAGAACCCCCTCAACTAAACCAACGAATATTGTACACTCAGAGGCAGGTATGGTGTCCCTCGGCGATGTCGTATACGTCTGTAAAACAATCGAAAGCGATGACAGGCATATACGCATATGCATATGGGCGTACTGTACAGCGCGAGAGAAGCGAAGAGGGAGAAGTGGTGGGAGACGTTCCGATGTTGCACCCTTATCGCACGTCGCACGATCGAGAGAGAAAGCATTACCAGACGTGGTATGGTTAATGGTGTCCTCAATAGCTGTCTCACTCTCTCTACGCTTGAATGCAGGCAATATGAGTGAGACAGCTATAGAGACACCGCACTGTCTCTATAGGTGTCTCGCTCGCTCTAATAACCATGTATTGCGCTTTCCTCTTTTCTCCTTAGCAGAAATGCCGATTAAGGAGGCAATCCTGTCTGTAGGTCAGAAAAATAAGCTATTTTCGCGAATTCTTTTTCGGAAGCTAAGCAGATGATTAATTTCAAACTTGATAGAAATAATAATATATATTCTATTGATAAGAATGAATTTTTATAGCGTTATATGAATAATAATGTAGCAAATATACAGAAAATAACGTGACGTGTTTAGGCGCGCGCCGTTTCATGGTTCCTATAAAATCTCGAAATACGATAGACTGGGACAAAAACGCAAGTAAAATAATTAATCTAAACTTGCCGCTAACTCGTTTGAATTAAAGAAATAAAAAATGAACTACTTTTTTAATATTTAAAGGCATTTAAAAATTATATTTGAAAAATCATCATAAATATCGATGATTTTACGTTAATAATATTTTATTTGCAAGAAAACGATATTTCATGAAATTTACGAAAAAAACTTATTTTATGCCGTAAGATATGTCAAATTGTGCAATTTGTTTTTAGACACAACATATCTTTATTTTTGAAAAGACTACGAGAAGGAGGGAGAATAAATGCAACATTTTCCTTAAAATGCTACTTAAAATATAGGTTCCGCTCTTGAAAATATAAAAAAAATTTGGAGACATGTAATAATAATAAAAATTACAATAATAATAACGAAACGCTATATAGCATCTTCTGAAATCAGAGAAAAAACTTTTTTTTATATAAAAAAAGTCGATCGATTGACTTCAGCATCTAATTACATATTCGAAACATGTCTATCTATCGTGTGAACTAGCGAAATAAAAAAATATTAATTTTTTATATGCACCGCGCTATCTTTATAGATGTCTCACTCGCTGTAATAGCCATGTATCGCGCTTTTCTCTTTTATAACGCCATAAAAATTCATTCTCATCAATAAAATATATATTATTATTTTTATCAAGTTTGAAATCAATCGTCTGCTTAGTTTCCGAAAAAAAATTCGCGAAAATAGCTTATTTTTCTGGCCTACAGACAGGATTGCCTCCTTAATCGGCATTTCTGCTAAGGAGAAAAGAGGAAAGCGCAATACATGGTTATTAGAGCGAGCGAGACACCTATAGAGACAGCGCGGTGTCTCTATAGCTGTCTCACTCATATTGCCTGCATTCAAGCGTAGAGAGAGTGCGACAGCTATTGAGGACACCATTAACCATACCACGTCTGGTAATGCTTTCTCTCTCGATCGTGCGACGTGCGATAAGAGTGCAACATCGGAACGTCTCCCACCACTTCTCCCTCTTCGCTTCTCTCGCGCTGTACAGTACGCCCATATGCATATGCGTATATGCCTGTCATCGCTTTCGATTGTTTTACAGACGTATACGACATCGCCGAGGGACACCATACCTGCCTCTGAGTGTACACTCATTAATTTGGTAAAGCAGAAAATTTTAGTACAATTTTAATAAGATAAATTTAAAAAATTAAAAATAAATGTGGAATCGATAGTTATGATCTTTAATTGTTAATAATTTTTTTTATGACGAAACTGATAAGTTAATGACATTTGATGAAAGATATTTACCTTATTAAAATTGTACTAAAATTTTCTGCTTTACTAAATTAATGAGTGTAAAATATTCGTTAGTTTAATAAATAAAAATGCCTCAACATATGTACACACACCACACACGGGGGGTGCGACGGGGGGCCTTCGGCCCCTCCCTCCCGCACCCATCCCGTCCTCGTTGCGCGTGGAAAGTTGCGAACCCATCCGGAATCTTGACAGGTTTCCTAACCTATTATACCAGTCAACTTTAACTATTTTTATTTCGTTTCGCAGTGAAGAACGACAATTTTCGCAGAGGAAAAAGTTGCTCTTTATTAAAAAACGCGTTGATTGAGTCTATTTTTATCGAATTCTAAGGCGGAGCCCCTAAACTGGATAATTACCGTATGATTATTTAAATTGGAACGCTGTTGGTAGCATGCTTTTATGACGTCATACTTACAGCACTGTCAGTAATTTTGGAACACAGCCTGAGTTTCGATATTCACTGCCAGTACTGAAAATATATAGTTTGTGTCACGTATACTATAGATTTTCAGTACTGACAGTAAATATCGGAACGCAGTCTACGAATACGGCCCTAGAAGTTCTCCGAAAAAGAACAGACCTATTTTCGAACGTTGCCGTTTTTGTCGACACATACAGAGCTATAACCTATCGACACAATTGCATACTCATTGACAACGTGTTCTAGACGGCATTTAAAGATGATTCGATATTATTTTTTCTTGTGACAATGATATAATACGTTCACGCACGACACAGTAACCGATAAATAGCGAAATGAAGCGGATTATTATATTCGGCGCTACTGGAAACACAGGCTTGTGTGTTCTGAGATCGGCTGTAGAAGATGGTAATTTTAATTATATAGATATAGATTCAAATTACTAATATCTGTACACGTACCTATCATTACATATTCATTACTATTTTAATCCGTAAATAAAAATACGATTTAAAATTTAAAATAAACGTATCTCCTTTAGCAAAAATTGAGCCTAGGTTCAACAAACATACGTTAATAAAGATACATTTCAGGAAGGATTTTATAATATCTAAAGTTTTAAACTTCTGAACTCAATCTTAAATCTTCTAAGTAATATTCTGTATTTTCTTTTATCAATAAAAGTAGCTTTAAAGGTAGCTTATAGTCAACCAGAAGGCTTCTAAACTACTTTAGAGGCATGTTTCTCGACAGAAGGAAGTTGAGGATATCAGTTTTACTTTTTACTGTACATTATTTTGAAATGCATATTTAAAATAGTGCACACTATATGTTTAATTTGGAATCTGTTCTTTTTTGAAAAACTAGTGCAATAAGTTAGTATGAGAGAAAGTATACTGTTATAAGTATGTTATAAGTAAATATGTCTGTTTTACTTGTTTAACTTATTGCATTAGTTAGAAATTCTTCGAATGAAAAAGAGACCTACAATTGCATTTACATTAAATGATTACAATGTTTATACTATATGCATTAAGTATGTGGAAAGTAAAGTTATATATATTATATGCAATAACAAGATGATTATAACAAAAAATTTATTATTACATATAAAGTGAATATAGCGAATATTATAAATTTTTTCTTTGTAATAATATATTTGTGTTTTCTTCCATCTATTATTAAGAAGAAACTATATCCATTAAGAAATAACTAAGAATGAAAAAATTAATCTATTAATCTAATAAAATTAATCTATTTTCAATCAATAATAGCTGAAGAATAAATGAAGTAAAATATTCTATGAACTGATTTTTCATTATTCCACAATGAAAATGATATAGGAGTTGTCAGGATTCTCTTGAATATTACAAACAATTATATTAATCAATATAGACCATGCTTTATGCTGTATATAATTCCCCACATAGCATTAGATCTCCAAAGTATATCCTAATTTGATCAAAATGATCCTATTATGATCCAAATGAATAAGTTATCCATAGGAGTACCTGAGGACATGTGCATTAGCCACAAATTACACAAAATATCCACATAACATCCATAGAATGTTCTAGTGTGTTAATTGATATTTACTGAGGAACAGTAATATACTGTTTTTTATAGTGTAATATTCATTTGATACTGTGATTCATTTACATACAGTAATTAGTTTTTGCTTTTATTAATTAGATATTTAACAAGTATTGTTTATGTCTGAACAATTGATGGTAAATATATAGAAAAAGGGACACCTCTCCGATTGTTTTTATTTTGAAATATGTTATAAAGCATGAAATTCGGAGTAACTTTTCCTAATATAACTATATAGGATGGGCTTGTAGTTTCGGAGATATAACAAGATAAAGTTAAAAATTTTGATATTAAATTCCAGATATAATGACGTTATTTATAGTACAAAGTTTATATGTGCCGTACTCTCTAATTTGTTGCTTATCTTTTAACAAAAAAAGTATTTGTTTACATTATTTATAAAGTTGTTCACTGTTGGCAATCGTCATGAATCTGAAACAGTTCACGATTAGTTTCAATATGAAACTATACGAATTTCTAAGTCTTGTTGAGGGTAATGATAAATTAATAGATTTTCCTATTAGTCGGAAAGTTATTCATGGAGATATTAAATGTTCGCGATGTGAAACAGTGTTAAAATTAATTCGTGAACTTATGCTTTTTAAATGTAATGCAACAAGATACACAACAGTACATGTACGAGCGGGAGCGGGGCGCAGCCCCTCCCCCTGCACTCCCTCCCCACACCCCCCTCTATCCCGTGTGTAACTGCATTAGTATGGGGAACAGCATATATTTCTTCCGCACATATATTGTTTGCCATACTAAAGCAGGTACATATGAGATACGAGATACTCGTATATGATAGAGGGAGTGGAGGGACGTGGGGGAGGGGATGCAGGAGCACAGCCCCTCCTCCGCTCATACATGTACTTTTTACCATGCAAATGCAGATATTTCATGTTCAATTCATGAAGTTTCTTTAGAAGTTAATCCCCTAAACAGGAATTTTACCTTAACTTTATCTTGTTATATCTCCTAAACTGCAAGCGACCCCCTACAGTTATATTAGGAAAAGTTATTCAGAATTTCACGCTTTATAACATATTTCGAAATGAAAACAATCGAAGAGGTGTCCCCTTTTCTATATATTTATCCAATTGATATCCAGAAAGCACAAAGAATACAAAAAGAAGTTAGTCTATATATTATTTATGTCTTATAATCTTTTATAATAACATGTAATACTTAGAAAAATCACTTAATATCTTAATATTCTAATATTTACTAAATATTTTATATTTTTATGATACGTTTTTTTAAGAAATGGATTATATATTATGTGATAGTATACAGGGTGCACGATTTATCTGAAGACATTGAAATATCTTGAGAACTATGCATTGGATAAAAAAAAGTGGTTAATGAAAGTTGTTAGTCTCGAAAGGGGACATCCAATGATACCAAACTCGACCTCCCACCCCACCCCCTGGGGGTGGGGGTTGGGGGCAACTTTGAAATCTTAAATGGAAACCCCCATTTTTTATTGCAGATACAGATTCTACGCCACAAAATACGTAAATTTAGTCCGAAACTTTTTTTTTGATTCGTGATAGATGGCGCTGTAATCGCAAAAAATTATATTTTCCGCAATTTTCCAGAAATGATCATTGGATTGAGAAATAAAAAATACCTGTTCAATATTTTTAAATCAACAAGTGCCAACAACTCGTGAAAACATGGTAGAACGCATAAGAAACGCTTGCGCTGAAACTCCCGCAGATATGCTTCTATCCTGTGTACAGTCATTTGAAAAAAGGATCAATAAGTGTATTGAAGTTGAAGGTAAAAATTTCGAACACTTACTCTAATTAATTAAACAGTGAGAGGCAAGGGAACTCACATTAAAAAAGCATCCCAATCTATGAAAGGCAAGGGGACTCACATTAAAAAAGCACCCGAAGGGAACATAAAACTACTACGTCGTCGTCGTTGTTCCTGTGTAACGCTAAAAGTAGTTTCTCGGAAAAATTTAACGCTATCTATCACGAATGAAAAAAATTGTTTCAATAAAAATTTCACGTACAATCTAATTCTGCAATGAAAAATGTGGGTCCCCATTTGAGATTTGAACATTATCACCCACCTACCCCGAGAGGATGGGGGGAATAACTTTTATTATGTTCTTTAAAAATATTGAACATGTATTTTTTATTTCTCAATCCAATGATCATTTCTGGAGAATTGCGGAAAATATAATTTTTTGCGATTACAGCGCCATCTATCACGAATAAAAAAAAAATTTCGGACAAAATTTTTGTAGCGTATTTTGTAGCGTATCTTGTGGCGTAGAATCCGTATCTGCAATAAAAAATGGGGGTTTCCATTTAAGTTCAAGCGCAACGAAGTTGTGACCGAACAACGCGAGGCGCACCGTGCCTATTACGCGAAACTGCGAGTCGAAACGAGATGAGATATTCATATCTCAATAATACCTAAACCGATCGAGATGTTTTCAGTCCCAATCGATTCAGTCTTAAAAAATAGGAAGAAAAATGTTTTTTGTGTACGTTGTTTCTGAAAAGAGTTATATTAAGATAAAGTCCGAATCACGGAAAATTTCGATTCAGTAAGAAAGTAAGAAACGCAAGACGTACAGAAGTAGGGATATGTATGTATCTCGCTTTTCCGACACCAGAGGCGTTGAAGAAGCAGAGAGCAGCGAATACCAGCAAGCAAGCGAGAGAAAGTGAGAGAAAGAGATGATTTATTTTCTTAACCAACTTGATCATTGAGGCTATAGCAATATTCTTCGCAATAATCGAAACATGTAAGGAAAGTATTGAAAGGCTAACGTGCATAAACAATAATAAATAAATATAGACTGTGACGTGAGTATATCACACAATTTGAATTTTAAATAAGTTCTTTGTATTTCCCATTATAAAAAAATAAAAAGAGAGCTCTTAAAAGACATTAATTCAAATATTTTATTTTTAATCACTATTACAAATATGTATACTCCTATGTATACGCTTAATCAGTAAATTAATCTTTAAATTTAATGATACTATTTAATTATCACGTAATTGTGCAATATTTGAAATAAAGAACGCTCACAGCTCGCAAAACATATTATACTATTTACATTTGTTTTTATTTTCAGATAATATTGTACAACCAGACTATATTTTATTTATTTATTACGTAAGACCTAAAGTACTTATTTTATTAACTTTTCATTATTTAAGCAATACAAATACAAAAGCAGATCAAATCCCGATATTGTTCATAATTGATTCTTATTATTTAAAATTGTCTTAAGCACAGTCTTAAAATGTCATAAACTAATCACAAGAAAACCGTATGAGTGTCTTAAAAGACACTACTTATGATTACTAGTCACGGACTAGGTATACGCGCGTGAGGCGAGCGCGCCGACCCTGAACGCTACATAGACAAGAGCGCTTATTCGTTAAATTTAACACGCTCTCCTGCAAAAACTACTTGTCGGACGCAATTTTGTTAAAGGAAAAAGTTGTTTGTTTTAGCATAAAGCAGTGCCCGGAATTACTTGCACGATCGGGCCGATTTCTGAGAGCTACGCCTCCTTACTTCCCCTTACCGCTCCAGCCCGCACGGCGGACCTAGAAACTGACAGTCGTGAGGCGCTGTCTCAGGCACGTCACATGAGACAGTCACATGAGACGCTTCACAGTTTAACATAGCTGAAATTAATTTATTTATTAAAACAACTCCATAGGCATTTTTTATAGTTTACTAATATAATATAGTCTTAATATTAATATAAATATATATTAATAGAAATATTAATATAAGTAATATTCTTAATATAACTATAATATACACTGTAT